GAAAACTGTGCTGCAATGAAGCAAGTGATCACTGGAGAAGGAACTGGGGAGATGTTTCCTAAGTTACACTCTATAATTTTAAGGTCTTGTCCCAACTTGAAATGTTTCTATGAGGGAAGCAGTGGGCTTGAGTTTCCACGATTGTCTGAAATTACTGTTGTTAACTGCCCAGTTTTGGCTGCTTTTGCTTCTTCATTTTCAAGTGACCAAAAGAAAGAGATGACAACTAATGACATAGAAAGTGAAGAAAGACCTATCATCCCTATTCAACCTTTCTTCAGTGATAAGGTCAGCTATTTTGTAAAGATTATTTTATTTTACTTTTACAGAGTATTTGTTTCTTCAATGTTGATGCTGCTATTATCTAGACCTAATTACCTTTATAGATATATTAATTACCTCAAACAATTGTGCCTAAAAGAACCATAATTGCAGCAAATTCGAGTAACAACCAATAATAGAAGGTTCTCAAAAAATATAATTATAAGAAGAATCAAACACTACATAATTTAATTATATAATTTTTCCCTTAATATTTGAATAAATTAAACATCTCCATCATTCAAATTGTGTTTAAAATTTTTTTGCATATGTTATACTTAATTCAAGTGTAAATATATGTTTGCTTATTCTTCATAAATAATATCATTAGTAATTTTCCTCATCAATCGAAAAGATATATATTTAGTTTTCTTAATTATGTATAATAAATTGTCCAATAAAAAAATTATATATAATGAATTATATATGCACAATAGGATTATTGGAACTATATTATATTAACTAGGAGTAATAACCCGTTTGTATAAATATTACATTACCTATTATTACTACCATATTAATTCCAAAGGTGTAACGTAATACTTTAAATACAAAAATTATTAATTATTAAGTATGACGTAAAACAGATGTCTCTGTTGTGCGTAAAAATTCTCTACTTCAAAATTTTGTCCTTTTGTGGAAACATCATCCCAAATTTGATATTTGATTTCTTGAGAATCCTTTTCCCTCATCCCATAGCATGGTAGGAATATTTGTAAAAAATTACCCTTGCTCAAAAAATTTTTTTTTCTCCACTTAAGTTAAAAGTAAAATTATTCAATTTAAGAAAATCAGTTAATCGGACAATGTTTAACTATCCCAAGCAAAGTTTACTACCATCCTTCATTCTAAATGTCTATGTGTGTCATTTCTCAAAATTTTGCTTCTGAACTGTCGTTATATTGTTTCTTTGGATCAAGAAGAAATTTATCCTTTCATTGTCAATGGCACGATGCTTTCATTCATTATGTAGGCTGCATTTCTTAACTTGGAACGGTTGACTATCACCCACTCGAAAAACTTGGAGATGATATGGCAAAGCAAAGTACATGCAGATTCCCTTTCCAAACTGAAATCATTAAGAGTTGAAAACTGTGAAAAGTTATTGGCTGTTTTTCCTTCTACTGAGGTAATATGTTCCTCATTTCACTTTCGTTTTTGTTTTAATTTTAGGGGCTAATAATTGTCCTTATCATTTCATTGTCATTGGCACGATGCTTTCATTCATTATGTAGGCTGCATTTCCCAACTTGGAATGGTTGACTATCACCTACTCAAAAAACTTGGAGATGATATGGCAGAGCAAAGTACATGCAGATTCCTTTTCCAAACTGGAATCATTAACAGTTGAAAACTGTGAAAAGTTATT